TCTCGAGTCTTCAACGAGACGATAGGATGGACAATGTCTTCAGCAGCATCCTGACAACACAGGAAGTAACAGGTTTTGTAAGGGCTCAGTGGTATTGCTTGATGGAACTGGATACCATAGCTTCCAGAACTCAATTGGAGAAGCGGGACAAAGGGGGGCAAAGACAGTGCTATTTATTGTCTTGCACATGCCAGGGCAGACCTTTAATTTTGTCTTCATGTTCTACACACAGGTAAGAGTTTTATGTAAGCTGGAATTGGGGGAGAACAACAACCCTGGAATGGCCAGAGGAGTTCCCACTCCTACAAAAAAGACATTTTGAAAACATTGCTTGGTGCCAGGTACAGTGGCTCACGCCTATAATCCCAGTGCTTTAGGAGGCCAAGGCAGGCAGTTCATGAGGTCAGGAGTTCAAGACCAACCTGGCCAATACGGTGACACCCTGTCTCTACCAAAAATACAAAAATTAGCCAGGTGTGGTGATGCGGGCCTACAGTCCCAGCTACTTGGGAGGCTGAGACAGGAGAATCACTTGAACTTGGGAGGCGGAGGTTGAAGGAAGCTGAGATCACAACACTGCACACCAGCCTGGGTGATAGAGCAAGATTCTGTCTCAAAATAAAATAAAATAAAAAATTAGCCAGGTGTGGGGGCATGCACCTGTAGTCCCAGTTACTCAGGAGGCTGAGGCAGAAGGATTTCTTGAGCCCAGGAGTTCAAGTAATTGAACTTTGTGGAGCTATGAACACACCACACACTCAAGCCTGGGGAACAGAGCAAAACCCTGTCTTTAAAAAGAAAGTCATTTGAGACACAAAATTACAGCTAGATAGAAGGTCTAGTATTTTTATAGCACTGTAGAATGACTATAGTAAACGATATTTTCAAAAAGCTAGAAAATATTGAGTGTTCACAACATAGGAAATAATAAATGTCTGAGAAGATGTATATGTTGATTACCCTGATCTGATCGTTATATATTTCATGCATCAAAATACCACAATGTACCTCATAATACATCTTATTATGTGTCAATTAAAAAATAAAAATTTTAAAAGTCCTTTGAAACTTGTTGGCAAATCAAAATTTCCCATTTTCTAATTTGAATTTCTTAAGCCTGCCAATCACAGTGCCTGGTAATCAATGTTTGTCAAAAGAACATATGATTGACAATAACCCAGCTAATGGAATTGTCTTGGAGATACTTTAAGCTTCTGAAGAGAATCTAAATGAGATCACGGCACTGTTATCACTAAGCAACAGTACTTTTCATGGAATACATTCTACATGCATACTTAAGTTATGACCTGAGAATTGGTTTCTGTTCTCAAACACCTGATGAAAAGGATAACAAAACGGAGACAAAAATATTTTTGGTGAAAAATACATTTTATCAATGAGAAGCAGCGCATTTAAAAACGTTTCTCCAGCTGGGCGCAGTGGCTCACACCTCTAATCCCAGCACTTTGGGAGGACGAGGCAGGTGGATCACCTGAAGTCAGGAGTTCTAGACCAGCCTGAACAACATGGTGAAATCCCATCTCTACTAAAAATACAAAATTAGCTGGGTATGGTGTTGCATGCCTGTAATCCCAGCTACTCAGAAGGCTGAGGCAGGAAAATCGCTTGAATCCAGGAGGTGAAGGTTGCAGTGAGCTGAGATCATGCCACTGCACTCCACCCTGGACAACAAGAGCAAAACTCTGTCTCTAAATAAATAAATAAAATGAAAACGTTTCTCCATGGAATCAACCTAAACGTCCATCAATGAGACTGGATAAAGAAAATGTGGTACATATATACAATGGAATATTATGCAACCATAAAAAAGAATGAGATCATGTCTTTTGTAGGAACATGGATAGAGCTGGAGGCTAGTACCCTGGGCAAACTAATACAGGAATATGTAAGCTGGAATTGGGAGAGAGGAACTAAACTAAATATCCCATGTTGTCACTTATAATTGGGAGCTAAATGTTAAGAACTTATGAACATGAAAAGGAAACAACTGATACTGGGATCTACTTGATGGGGGAAGGTGGGAAGAGGGAGACAGGCAGAAAAGATAACTATTGGGTACTGGACTTAATACTGGGTGATGAAATAATATGAACAACAAACCCATATGACATGTGTTTACCTATGTAACAAACCTTCACATGTACCCCCAAACCTGAAAGTTTAAATAAATAACATCTCTCCAAGATTTGCTTCATGATTTCTGCTGAAAAGATCCACAATATTAAGAGTTTCTGGGTGTGAAATTACACAGGCCTCTCTTAACCACACAAAATTGAGATGCCAAGCACAAAGAACCTGCTTGTTCATATCAGGGTGGAAGTAAACACAAAGATAGTTGAGAAAAGCAGCAGACCACTACTACAGGCATTAGGTAAAAGATTTTTATTCTCATTTAACCATGCTGCATGTATACATACAATATCAATATATACAACTTGAACAAATACAATTTATACATAAAATACAATGAAAGCGTGGCTTTTGTAATTGATGCAACAAACTGTACAATTTGTAATTTTGGCCAGTATACAGTATTATAGTAATGCTACTGAAGTTATTCATTATTTAGTCAGACTACAGTATAAGTTCAAAGGCACTAGAAACATCTATTTTTTCTGCTAGTGTTTTTGAGAAGAAAGAATAATTAAAAAGAAAACAAATGTATACATTAGGAGATTGGGCAGACACTGGCATACTTAAATGTAAACGCTACCCATTCCTTAATTCACAGCCCCGTAGGAAAGAGGAGGACTTTCCTTAAGAGTTAAGGGGAAGGATATTAAAAACAGACTAAAAAGAAACTGAAACAAAACAAAAAAAAACCTAAAAACCATAATCATAGTTTTAAAATATGTTACAGATGAAGTAGCACCACCCCCTCCCACAACATAACCTTAAATTTTTGCTGCAAAAAAAAAATTCCTTTCTCAAGAAAGGAAATGAAATGGCCTGTCAAATGGATTCTATTCATGAGGCAAACATGGAGATGCAACCCTCCCCTTGATTACTCATCTCATGCTTTATAAGAATCTAAACACAAATAGGAAATACTATAATTTTAACATCCTAACTGTTAGTATATGTAATTGTAAGGATTATTAAAGAAGATACTATAAACCAATAAAGCTACCAAGGCTCCTTTTAATAAATAAATATGACTCTTCAAATTAAAGGGAAAAGAGAATACTCATTCAATAACCAATTTACATATATGTGCTACTCATTTTAAGTCTGCATATTTATTTCAAATAATGAGCAAGTGTGTTCATCTATATCCTTTCACAAAATTAACACTGAAGTTACAAAATATTTCATTTGTGGACAAAGACACAGTAGATGTGAAGAAGCCACAGAACTGCTATGACTGGAGCTAAATGAATATAGCTCTAAAGTCAGTGTCCCATATTTTCATATGGATATTCAGGCCAGGCTTGAATATCAAATTTTGGTATTTCCGAGATGGATATTTAATGTCCATCTGGTATAATCAGTTTTAACATAATGCTTTTTGTAAAAAAAAAAAAACCTGCTATAGTAGGCCGGGTATTGTGGCTCAGGCCTATAATCACGCCTGTAATCCCAGCACTTTGGGTGGCTAGACAGGTGGATCACTTGAGCTCTACAAGTTCGAGACCAGCCTGGGTAACATGGCAAAACCTCGTCTCTACAAAAATATACAAAAATTAGCCAGGTGTGGTGGCATACAGCTGTAGTCCAAGCAACTCAGAAGGCTGAAGAGGCAGAGGCTGCAGTGAGCCGAGATCATCCCACTGCACTCCAGCCTGGGTAATAGAGTGAGACTCTGTCTCCAAACAAACAAACAAACACCCCTGCTATAGTAGCCTGCTTTAGGAACTCAACTGATTTTTTATAGATGGGCTTTTTATTTTGATTTTTTATAGATTTCTTTTTGTTATCATGGTAGGGTGGGATAAAAAAATACCTAACATACTGGCTTGAATTTCCATGTTTTAAAAGTTACTCCTTTCCTGTTAGCTGAATTGTAAAAGGTTAGAAACGTGAACTTTTAAAAAGAAGCACTGTTTTTTTTTCAACTGGTAAAATTAAGATTTCTTTATAGTAATTACTAACAGTTAAATGTGCATCATCAAAAACATTTCATAATTACCAAAATATTCTGATCACACAAGCTTTTACAAGACACATATTTACCTCAACTCTTCATAGTACCTAAACAATGCCCCACAGAGTTAAGCAGTAAACTTCTAACTATCTTACGTATCACAAAGAAATGCTTTCAGTGAAATGCAACTCTAATCACCTAGAAAATGTTCACCACACACAGGACATTCAGTATTCCAATTATGGAATGGACTTTAAATTTATGGATACATTTTAATCACCACCTCACCAGTACTCCACCTTCAGTCACCCCTACTCTATACACAGCTTTGTAATTTAAACTAGGATTTAACAAAACTTATTAAAATAATATTTAATAAATACTAACTTATAAAGTCTCAAAATATTTTCAACCAATGTGTTTCAGGGCTAATTACATAATTTTGAAAACCACAAAAACATATATTAAGTGGTTTAGGAGTAGCATAACTTTAATTTTTTGAGATGGAGTCTCACTCTGTTACCCAGGCTGGAGTACAGCGGCACCATCTGGGCTCACTGCAACCTCCACCTTCCAGGTTCAAGCAGTTCTCCTGCCACAGCCTCCCAAATAGCTAGGATCACAGGCTCGTGCCACCACACCCAGCTAATTATTTTATTTGTAGTAGAGACGGGGTTTCACCATGTTGGCCAGCCTGGTCTCAAACTCCTGACCTCAAGTGATCCACCATGCCTGGCAAGGAGTAGCCTAACTTTAAGAAAAAATAAAAATAAAAATTTCATAAGCAGCTAACAACAGAAAAAAATAATTCTATCTATTACAACTTTACTATGAAATGAACATAACTTTTATTTGTAGAGGAATATGGTCTAACTGGATTACTCAGTAGAAGAAATTCAGAAAAGAATATCTTATTTTTAAAATACCAAAACAAAATAAAAAGTGTTTTAAAGGCTAAGTATTTAAAAGATATTTTTCTTGTTTAGCTGCATTTTCTGGAAAATGGAGATCCTTCACAACTGGGAGATATAAAGTAATTCCCACCAAAATTTAGAATTCAAAGGAAAGCATCCATAAGTTACACTTCAAAGTGAATTTTTAAAAGTATACATGCAGGCAAAGATAACTGACCAGTATTTAGCTTCTTAATTTTCTGCAACAGTAGATCCTTTATATTTAGGTACAATTCAATGTTTCAAGAGAATATGAAACCAGAACATAAGGTGTATTTGATTTGAACTCAAACTGGCAAGAAAAAAGTTAGGAAAGATCCAGATGAAACATTTTCAACTTTTTAAAAGATATGTATACTCCTAAGGATTGTTGAATTATAAAATTTTCTACAGAATATTAATAAGATCAGTTATCTCATACTTAAAATGCAACGAATGTCAGAAAATTAGAATGTGTTTAAACAGGCTGGGTGGGTTAGTGTTAGAACGGAGTCATTTCTTAGATGTGCAGTTCAAACATTTATATATAACAGCGCAACACAGGACAATCTGATCTGCTTCTATGTGCAAAAGAGGATACAGTTTCTATTTTGAAATTCTAGTTATCTAAATATACAGTAGTTCAGCTAACCAATTTACACACATATCTAAACTGTAGCTCTCTATAGTATGAACTGCTCCCCCAACTTCCCTGCATAGTACAATTGAAGAGTAGTAGTATGACAATTTGAACAATCACCAGTTGTACAATTTTAATATGTTACATTAATATATGTAGACTAAAAGTTATTAGGCAAATTACTATTTCCGGTCTTATTCATTGATCTACAGCTTCCATTAATTAAAATTATAAGAGAAGTCTTCAGTGTTTTAATTAAAGATTTTGTCCAGGCATGAGAATATCACTAATTTTTATTGTGACTTTAAGTCTGTAACATTTACTGCAGTAAAGAGTCAATTACAGTTTCAGGCTTTGCAGAACGCTTTCTGTTTGGAAAAGAAAAAAAGCAAGCATGAATGCTTTCCTAAAAGACTGAAATGCAAACACTTTACATTATATAGTAGAAAATGTGGGGTGGCCTGTATAGACTCTGGAAACAAGCCAATATTTGACATGTTTGACCATAGCAAGTGTTCAATTAATGCTCACCTTTTCAGGCTACAGGAAGCTGACTTAAAGTGCAAGAGGATGGTAGGCCATCCTATTATGTCACGAGTAGTGAGGGATACGACAGGTGATAACTTCCAAGACTGGACTAGGTCATGTGGCCAGGCCAAGTGAGCTGCATGCTTGCCAGATTTGAACCCCTTGATTACCTCTTCTGAGGTACTCAAAAGGTGCAAGTGGATTCAGAGGAAATCAGAAACAAATCATCTCAGGCAACACCTCACAGATGCTTATGTAGGGACTTATGGAAATGCTATATTAATATATCATATTTATTGCAATTTTGCCCAGCCCATCTAACATGTGTTTCTAATGAAGAACATCACATTGAACATATAATGTAATATAACATCAATAAACCATTTAATGCATATATTTGTCCATATTTATGGCTATCATTTTCTTAGGATTTCCATGGTTACAGCAGGCCAATTCTAGTACACAGAGATGGTGAGTTTGGCTCATGTAATATTGAGCCACACTTTTTTTTATGTTAAACTAAAAAAATGACATCTTAAAATGGGTGTTCTGAAAAATGTATTCAAATATCTTACTCATTTGCTTTAGGTCCACACAGTTTAAAAAAAAAAAAAGTAACTAAAATTAAGAGATCTCAAATAAATAATTCCAATTTCCAATTCCAATTTCCGGCTTCTCCTTAGAAAAGAGAAGATCCAGGCTGGGCACAGTGGCTCATACCTGTAATCCTAGCACTTTGGGAGGCTGAAGCGGACAGATCACCTGAGGTCAGGGGTTCAAGACCAGCCTGGCCAACATGGCAAAACCCCACCTCTACTAAAAATACAAAAATCAGCCGGGTGTGTTGGCAGGTGCTAATCCCAGCTACTTGGGAGGCTGAGGCAGGAGAATTGCTTAATCCCAGGAGGTGAAGGTTGCAGTGAGCAGAGATCACACCACTGCACTCCACCCTGGGCAACAGAGCAAGACTCCATCTCAAAAAAAAAAAAAAAAAAAGAAAAAGAGAGAGAGAGAGAGAAGAATCAGAAACAATGAGCCCTCTATTTCCATAGATAACTAGGAAGAGAGTAGCAGCCACTCACTTTAGACACAACTGCTCTACAGTTTGCCCTGGTCCCCACCACCGCCAATTTTTCTCCTACATTGAGGCCAAATGTCTCAACATTTGTCATCAGGCTTGCATTGCCATTTTACTAAAAGTGGAAAAGTAAACAATACATCTAAAGGGACTCGAGTTTCTTAGAGCTGATTTACTTCATTAGTATAATATGCACAGCATGTTTTGGGATAGAAAAGTTTTTAACCCCTCACCTAATGCTAAAGAAAGTAAAAATTTGTACATTTTTAATATGCAACTGACTGTCCAACTCTGAGTTCAACCATCCCAAATTTATAACTGTTAAGTCATGTCTATCAGATTATGTAGCATAAACATATCAAAACCATACAACTTAATCCCACATGTAACTTGAAAGTCCATACACTCAAAGTATGGAAAAAAGGGGCTTATTATTTTCTGCATTTCAGGAGCCCCAGAGTCTTAAAATCAGGTTAAATAAACTGAACAGTCCTTGATGCAGGAAAGGGAGAGAAAAAAAATAACCTCCAGCCCAGGACTCCCACATCCTGATTTCCCTGAGTTTATGTGATGATACATGCAGACTACCCAACAGTCAAAACCAGTACCCAAAGGAGAGGGGCAAATGTCCAGAGAAGTTTTTCTTAGCTGGTGACTGAGGAAATCAAGGTTCTTGGGGCACTGTGACAGAAAAACTAACCAGCTGAATACAATACCTTGGGAGACCAAACAGGCAAATTAATTAGCATTTCATAAGAAGAATTAGTCTAAGAATTAAGGAATTAAATTCATTATACATTTAAAAATAATAGAGTGAAATAAAAATAAATTCTATTATGCAGGAGCCTAAGAAGTTGGAAGACCTTAATTCTTTGGCCAGATTTTATTTACTCAAATTCTAATACACAGGGAATTTGATTTTTTTTTTTTTTTTTTTGAGACCTAGTCGTGCTTTGTTGCCCAGGCTGGAGTGTAGAGGTGCAATCTCAGTTCTCTGCAACCTCTGATTCCCAGGTTCAAGCGATTCTCCTGCCTCAGCCTCCTGAGTAGCTGGGATTACAGGCATGCACCACCATGCCTGGCTAATTTTTGTATTTTTAGCAGAGACAGGGTTTCACCATGTTAGCCAGGCTGGTCTTAAACTCCTAACCTCATGATCCACCTGCCTTGGCCTCCCAAAATGTGGGGATTAAAGGCATGAGCCACTGTGCCCCATCAGGAATTTGATTTTTAATAAATCAGCCAAAATATGTATCATGTTAATTAAATAAATTTTAATTTATTATATATGTATTTAATTAGAATACCTCAATGCCTTTATTTTATGAGATTCAAGGGCAGTCCTTACCTTCTCCCTGTCTTTGGCCTTGCTTTCCCCTTCGAAGTTCGTGGTCTTTCTAGTTTCATCAAAGACTGACGGAGACTCTCCTCAGTATAGGCAAGATACACATGAGAAAGGTCCACTTCAAAGGGCTAAGTAAAAGAAATAAACACAAGGCACTCTTATGGGAGAGTTAAACCAGATTTGAGGGAAGATTTAAAATACCGAGTAAACTCCCAGAAAAAAAACCACAGATGATAAAACCAAAGAAATGTCTAATGATATTATCTTCTAATCCCAGGATCTACTCACCAAAGGTTGCTGAGTAAGAAGCCCTGGCACACTATAAATTTCCTTGGACATAAAAACTGTTGCTGGTTTTTTTGGTTTTTTTTTTTGAGACAGAGTCTTGCTCTGCCACTCAGGCTCAGGCTGGAGTGTAGTGGCATGATCTCAGTTCACTGCAACCTCTGCCTCCTGGGCTCAAGCAATTCTCCTGCCTCAGCCTCCTGAGTAGCTGGGATTACAGGCACGTGCCACCACACCCAGCTAACTGTTGTATTTTCAGTAGAGATGGAGTTTCACCATGTTGGCCAGGATGGTCTCAATCTCTTGACCTCGTGATCCACTCACCTAGGCCTCCCAAAGTGTTGGGATTACAGGCGTGGGCCACCATGCCCAGCCTGCTATTTTTTTTTTTAAAGCTGCTCCCTCTTCTTGTTGATCCAGGACTAGAACTAGCTTTGAAGAGGAAGAAAGACACATTCTAGTCTCTACCCATAACCATGACCCAGAGTGGTAGTGAAAAGAGGACTCCAGAGAGTGACTCCATGCTACTCTTACGGTTCGAATAAGCCTGACATCAAGACCGATGGTAAGCAGAATTGTCCTAACCATCACCCCATCCTAGAGCCTTTATTTCCAAAAGATAAGGCCATTTTTCAGGAAAGCTGATTAACAGATATCAGGTTCATAATACAATTTAATGACTCGCTTTCCCATAAAGAAACAACTATAGTTATGTGTTTTTTTAAAAAGTACTCTTACGTCTTTCTCCTTTTTATCAGGTACTGGGGTTTGCTTCCTCATGTTATTTCCTGTGTAGGCAACACATTTCTCAAAAAAAGAAAAGGGGGAAAGAGAGAAACGTCTTAATTAGTAATCAATACTGTGAGTTAGGCAAATAACTGAGATATCCTAATATTACACTAGTAAAACATCATTTGAATGTTGGGGCAGAAAGGTCACTCAGTCCCACATAGTCCCTGACCCTGATCATCTTCACCCAGACCATGATGTGTATGTTATAATTAATTATGTATAATTAAAAAAACATCTTATCTGCCCTACTGGATTCTCATCTGAGTCATCCACTGGACCACCTTCCTCCCCACTGTAGCCAGCACAATTTCTAGCCCATAGGAAGTACTCTTTAAGTATCACATGAAAGGATGAAGGTAATACTCACTAGCTGCCATTCTCCTATGTCTTCGTTCCAATGGACATAGTTTTCAATCATTTCCTTTTAAAAGAATGAAAACTTATTTTTAATGTTTACTAACATTTAAAATATTGAAGTCATAAAACTAAAATCTTAACATTAATAAAAGTTAAGTCTCAAAACATTATATACTGATATGATAACCTTTTTATAAATTCTAAAATATGTATTTCTTAGGAATGCATGTAGATACAATAAAACTGAAAATGAAAAAACAACAGAATGAGAAACTCGGGAATCAAGGTAATGGTTACCCTGGGTTGGAAGAGGCAAAGGAATGAAATAAGGAAAGGGAAACTGGTTAGAAGTAGGTTATTACTGGGCCAGGTGTGGTGGCTCATGCCTATAATCCGAACACTTTGGGAGGCTGAGGTGGGTGGATCACCTGAGGTCAGGAGTTTGAGACGAGCCTGACCAACATGGTAAAACCCCATCTCTTCTAAAAATACAAAATTAGCCAGGCCTGGTGGCACATGCCTGTAATCCCAGCTACTTGGGAGGCTGAGGCAGGAGAACTGCTTGAATCCAGGAGGCGGAGGTGGCAGTGAGCCAAGATCACACTATTGCATTCCAGCCTGGGCAACAAGAGTGAAATTCTGTTTCAGAAAAAAAAAAAGAAATAGGTTATCATTAGGTCCTAGCTTTTGTTTTGGGTGATTTCAATAAAAAATAACTAAATAAAAGCAGGCCATCGAAGGACCAATAAGAATGTACCATAAACCCCAGGCTAATTCCATGTACCTAAGATTTAAAAAAAAAAAAAAAAAACACCTAAGACTTCTTTACTTTTTTTTTTTTTTTTTAAGACGGAGTTTTGCTCTGTTGCTCAGGCTGGAGTGTAATGGAGCAATCTCGGCTCACCGCAACTTCTACCTCCCAGGTTCAAGTGATTCTCCTGCCTCAGCCTCCCGAGTAGCTGGGATTACAGCCTAGCTAATTTTTTTGTATTTTTAGTAGAGCGGGGTTTCACCATGTTGGCCAGGCTGGTCTTGAACTGCTGACCTAAGGTGATCCACCCGACTCGGCCTCCCAAAGTGCTAGGATCACAGGCCTGAGCCACTGTGCCTGGCCTCAGACAAATTTCTTAAATCTGTATTGAGATTCAAAACAGATTTTTAAAAAATTGGCCAGGCATGGTGGTTCATGTCTGTAACACAGCTGTTTGGGGGGCCAAAAGGGACAGATCACCTGAGCTCAGGAATTTGAGACCAGCCTTACTAATGTGGCTAAACCCTGTCTCTACTAAATAGTCAAAAATTAGCCAGGTATGGTGGTGCATGCCTGTAATCCCAGCTACTCAGGAGGCTGAGGCATGAGAATTGCTTAAACCCAGGAGGCGGAGGTTGCAGTGAGCTGAGATTACACCACTGCATTCCAGCCTGGGCAAAAGAATGAGACTCTGTCCCAAAAAAAAAAACATAATGTTAAAGTTTACCAAAATGTACTGGAAAGACAAATTCTGGATTACAAAAAAATAGAGTCTGAGATTTTAAAATTATACTAATATGAAAAATTCTGGAGATGAATCATAATGAGGGTTGCAAAACAATGTGAATGTACTAAATGCCATTGAACTGCACAACTTAAAATCGCTAAAATGGTAAATTTCATGTTACCGGTATTTTACCACATACACACACACACAAAGAATCCACAACCATAGCAGGGAGAAAAAGGTAGCATAAAGGTTCCCTTTATTCTACTTGTATGATAATGGGTGCTAAATGAAGGAATGGAACCTACACCTTGATTCTGATTGCATGTATATGAATCTGAGTTTGTCTAAAAGGCTGAAAAATTCTCATTTACATCCTTAGCTACTCAGAGATTATGTATTAAGAAAAGTTAACAACTAAAGTGAAATGTGATGGCATTTGTTCAAGAAAATTGTACATTCAATAACTGAAATATTAAGTATTTACCATCAATTAAATTAGAAATTATAATTCCTGTTCCTTAATCCCAGTCAAGTGACTAATATCTGGGTCAGAGAACTTCCTTTTTACCTGATAATCCCGAGGTATAAAGTTATCAATAATAAGCATCTGAAGTCGAAGCTCCCGGCTAAGTTGCCGAATGTTCTCCAGTAGGCCCTCAATTTCCCTCTGATGTTCTTGTTGGAGATCAGCCATCTACCAGAAAATCCATAAGAAGATTATGAACAAACAAGACTTTAACTACAAAACAGCTCCATCTCACATAGGACACTACTGTAAGAGGCCTTGTGAGAGCTTACCTAGTTCTTTTATAAAAACGATAAACAGTGTGACACTGTCAGCACCTATTCTACACTATTTGTTAAGGTTGGAAAGAACAATTTAGCCTAACAGATTAAAATTAAAAATTGCACATAAAGGAGAAATATCTTATTTATTTTAAATTATAAGTTCAGACTATGATTACTTCTGAATTCTTAATCAAAGAACTCCTTTTTAAAAAATTCAGAACCACATTCATTAGTAGGTAATTTCTAAAAGACCCAACCTCTGACTTTGCAGCCATCAGCATAGTCCACACTTTCTTTAATTTCTTGGTCTTCCCCTGTGCTTCCTCTTGCAAACTGGTATATTTTTCTTCAATATCCAAACGTTCTTGCTATGAAAAAAATTAGTAAACTTCAGAATAATTTTATCTGTAAAATCAAATATCTAATTCTTTAACAAATGATATAAATGTTTGGTAACTCTTATCCTTCAAAGCAATCCATAAATATGTTTTAAAATTTCAGTACAATGATAGACAGCTTTCCACTAGAAAAGTTAGATCTCTCAGGCAAAATATCAAACTAAAAACAGAAAGTCACATTACCTCTTTTTCCTCAAGTTCTCTGCGAAGTTGCTCTGCTCTTTTCCTCCTTTCTTCCAGTTCCATGTTAGATTCTTCAAGAAGTTTCTCTTGTTCCTCAGCTTTGGCCAACAAATCAACCCCACCAACAATTACCTTCTTTTCCAGGGCAGACAATTTTTCCAGCAAAGACTGATGTTCTTGTCTATTGATTAGAATGAGAATACTTTATATTCACTGATCATCTATTATTCTACAAATATCATTTCCCAAAATTTAACAAAAATTTGGATATACAATTTCAAAATAGAAATATAATTATGTAACATCTCTACCAAATTATACTGCAGTGTAGTATCAATTTCTAATTTAATCTATAACTCATTCTAATTCATGAATATGTTTTCCCATCCCATGGAAATAATCAAGACAGATCTAGTTTTTAGAAATACACTATATACAATGGACCCTTTATCAAAAAATAGCTACACTGGAGACAAAAATCAAGCTTTTAATTACTATTCAATTTTCCTATTTATATGTCCTATGAAAAAATAGAAATTTAAATCATGAATTCATCTCAATGCAGTAATACTCACTGGGCTTTAAGAAGATCTTTTTCCCGTTTCTCTAATTCAGCTCTAGCCTTGTTTCTTTCTTCTTCTTCCATGTCAAGCTTTGTTTCAAGTGCTTTTCTCTCCTCATCAATTTTTGCTTGCATTTCAATCATCTTATCTGGGGAGACTTTCTTTTTACCTATTTGAATCATTTAATTGCAGCAAATCACTAAAATGAGTCAATGTTTCAGACTTACATAAATTACCTTCTTCAATATAGAAATGCCTACACTCCTCAATAATACAAAAACAATTATCAATATTATAAGGAAATCAAACCAATAATATCATGCATTTCCATTTATTATGTTCCTAGAACTTTTTAACTCATTGCTAAATTCAAACTGTTGTCCAACTGTGCAATGGTAACTAAGAACAAAAGTGAAAGAAAAGCAAAACAGATGAGCTAAAAAAATAGAAAAAGAAAAATTAACAGGAAAGCCAAATTAAAAAAAAATTTATGTCCCCGGATAACAAATATAGGTTAAAAAAACGCAACATGATTCTTCAGTTACTTTTTCCCAATAACCAAGTTTAAAATTGAGCAACTCCTTAAAATACCCTCCCCAAGTTCACATAAATGCATAAAAATCATATATAGGTATAAAATGCACAGATAAAAATAACAGGCAGAATTTACATCAAGTAGTTTTAATATATTTTTCAGAGTTTTTTCTAAAATTTTTGTTTAATAACATAAGTATTTTATTTCACAGCATACATTTAAAGGAAAAAATTATATACTATGTAATTATGTAACAGTTACACGCATGGTAATTAACCAAGCATTTCACAGTTGCTGTCATGATCTATCATCATACACTAAAGAAATAACTAAAATAGATTGTTATTATGTCAAACTCAGGACCTGAAGGCTCGCTAAGTCAGAGTAAACATGCCAATTGTCAAATATAGGTAGAAATACTACCGAATAATAAAGCTGGAATATGGCTTCCAATTATTTTGCTAATAATGTCTAATAAAGTATTTTATATACATATAAAAGGTGCTCAATGAAAGTTTATTAATGAATTTCAAAATTACAAAATCCAAATGAAAGAAAAAAGAGAAAATAAAACTAGCTTATTAAACTTGTTATTAAACTGAATCAAAGACAATTCATTTCTGGTTATACAGTTTCTTAGAAACATGCATTCCTTCAGAAAACTAATAAAACTTTTCATAGAATTGGTCTGAGGCTCTCCTGGAAGCTTCCTGTCATTTTTAACTTCTTTCCCAAAGAACTACAGAAGAAGAGTGTAAATCATAAGAGTTTACAAATTGTTATTATCTCCACCCAAAAGCTAACCCCCTACCTCCTAACAAGCAAAAAGAACTGAAAAATAATTATGATGGAGATATATAACTGAGTATATTCTTTCAGGAACCATGAGATGAAGAATCCTTAATAGACTTTAACTCTTTAGAACAAAATTATGTAAAAAACTCAAGGGTTTAAAATACATCATTTCTATAGAACTCTAAGTCCAAAGCAAACCTAGGACATGAGACAAATGAAATAAAAGAGTAAACAAAAGCACTGATCCAAATTCATGCTTTGGTGTGGTGTGATTCATTGCATTCCAAAAGTCAGGAGGTTAAACTGATTTTATTGGCTTGTTTGGCACAGTCATCTGTATTGAATCTTTTGAATTAGCTGTTAAAAAATAACTTAAAAAGAATTTAACTCCTATTCTCAAAGTACTTCCCATCAGTTATACTGTCTTAGAAATCTGAAGGAGAAAAGTATCATTTCAAGTATATAGTAAGTATATGCATTTTAAAAAGTTAACTTCCTTTCCACTCAGAATTACAAATATTTAAAGACAAAATGGGAAATATGTTAAGACAAAAATAATAAATGCATGAAGACACTGATGCTAATAGTATAGAGGAAATGATCTAATCAACATACGAACAGTAATATGTACAAGCTTTGAGGGTTCTAATTGTTTTGTTAACAGTTAAAAAGTTTCAAAACCCATTAAGAGGTAGTAAAATAAAAAGATTTTCTTAATAAAAGATTTTATATGTAGAAATACAAAGACACATAACTGTTGATGAATTAATACATTACATTAGTAATTGAAAACCATTCTGGGATGTTTCCAAACGGATACTTCAGCAGCAAAAGCCTTACCGTGCTCTTGTAACACTTTCATGAAGACGATCAAAGATACATAGGGTTAGTTTCAAAAGCCTAATATTTAGTTAAGATATTACTTTAGCGAGAATCACTCTGACAAATCATTATATTTCTTCCAAAATAGTATTTTAAGCTAAATGTGAATATGTGCTAACTCTCCTAATCAGGCATTTAAAAATGTGACATCACTAACAGTCACTTTTACTGTATTTTTTAAAAGACTTTTTTTAAAAAAAAAATCTTACTAGACAAATCAATCAAACAAAAACGAAATATTTTTCTAATAATGCATGATAAAATCCGGCACAAAATTTAAGGCAAATAAATATTTTTAAAAGTTAATGCCATAAGAGTATTTAATTAAGCCAGATATAACTAGTAACATTTTTATTGCCCTTCCTCATGTGCTCTAACCAATACTGTGAAGGTGAGCTGGCCAGGGTAAGTTAAAGGGGAAGAACTTTAGGGCAGACCTAATTGAATTAATTTCATTTTTATTATATAAGCACCCACAGCATAGGTAACCAGGCATTCAATTCTTGGCTTTTTTTTAAAAAAGGAGAAAAATGTTTGAATGTGAAGTAGTTTTACAGTTGTATTTCCAAAATTTGGACTAAGGGGTCTTTAAGAATTTAGAAAAAAAAATAAGTTTTTTTTAAAAACTGAAGTTGAAAGATTTTTAAAAATACAAAAGATAGATACTTACCTGGTAAAAAAAATTATTAATTTTTTAAAATTTAATATATTTAAATGAAGTTATTTATAGGATAAATAATTATACCATGTGGAGTGCAAATCAATCACACCAACCTGTTTGATCTTGCAATAAGAAGTAGTAAGCAAATCGCAGACAGGAAGCATATGCACAGAGATGAGGAGGAAAAAAGGAAAACATTATTTCTTTGGTAAAACAAAGAAAAATATATAATAGCATTCATTTAAGTGTAGAAGTGAATCAAATCATTATCAAAACTGAAATAGAGCCCATATAAAAAGAAAGCATATTTAACACAATGAGAAATGTAATTTAAGCAAGAAAAATAAAATTAACTTAGTCTTAGATTATAACTCAAGTCAATCTCAGGAGCTCACACTGATTCCCCAAGTCCTGCAAAGGTCACAGTTCAACACCATGTAGTTATGCTAACAGTAGACATGAAATTAGGAACCTGCTAAGACCTGGGAAGTAATCTAAAAGGGCAGAACAGAAAATTAAGACAATTTTAACAACTAGTAAGTTTAAAGTGACAAAATTCACACTGTCCCTAGCAAAAACATCCCAATTCAATATTTCTTTTAGTATATGGATCTATTATAGGCATGCCTCACTTTAAGAAAATCTAACACAAAAACCTGAACCAAACAGACAAATTAGATTATAGTAATTTCCACTGCTTATCTGATTAACAGGAAAGTCTAATGAAGAATTTTTAAAGACAGCAAGTTCTTTCAATATATCTGATTTCCCAACTGGATTTATGGGCTTTTTTTTCTCTTTTCAGAAAAAAAGAATTATTACATAAAATGAAGTACACCTGTATAATAACAAACTTACATTCCTTCTATTAGCAGATGGTTAAGGGTAATTATAACAATGATTCTATGTAAGTCAGTGCCAATTGATGATTCAAGCAAGAAACACCTTTAAAAAAGGCTATTCAGATTTTTAAAAGGGAGGGTACATACAAGTTACACACAGCTAACCACATGCTGGGACAACCACCTCCCTCTCCACTGCACCAACACACCCTCATTACAACAAAAAACATTATGTACTAGGTATGCTAACAGGAATTAAAACTTCTTGAACTGAACAAAGTACAACTCATTTCATAACATACTTTCATATAACTATTCTTTAAGTTTTAAAACAGAAAATTAAATTGCAATGCCTCCCACTCAAATATTTTCTCGTATTTCATACTTTATTATACAAAGTAGTATCTCTAGGTGGTTTCTAATGCAATTTCAAGTATTTTACAAATTATCCCTCGAAATGAATTGTTTTGGTAACTTGCCTAGAAATTGTCAATAAAGAAAAAGATTTCTAATATTCTTGGAATTATTCTAGAAAGCTAAAAGCGTAAGAACAATAAGCAATTATCTTTGTCATTAGTTTTGGAACGGTGAGTATATAGATAATGCTTTAAAAGACAGTAAGCTGCAGGCTGGTATAAGAAAACAACACTACTCCCCTTTCTTCTGAAAACAAAATGGATAACACTTTTCAATTTGATTAAATTAGGTTTTAACAGAAGTGTTTAAGTTTGAAATAAGTCTAGATGGATCCTGCATAATCTTCTCATGATCCTGCATTCTCTAATCATACCTTAGAAAATTTCTTAATATCAGGTAATTTAGAAATATGGGTAAATGTCCATTTGAAATAAAACACTATTCAATTCATCTTTACTTGCTTCAAGCTTCACGTTTTTCTTTATTTTGGAGCCTTTAAGCTACCACTAAGATTAGGACACCAAAGTGTAAAATATTTATAACTGTACGACATGTTATAATGGGCATTGGTGTACTTCCAAATATAATTTGTACTTTTAGAAATTTAAGATCTAATGTCACGTGTCCCTTGTACTGAGCAGAATTAGAAATGTATCATGAAACCTAAAAAAGAACCATAAGAATTATTCTTTTATACAGCTTACTAGCTCTCTTTACATTATCTCAATTGCAAAAGCATGTATCTCTCTTCCATTGTCTCAAACATAAGCTAAAGCGTATGTTTTAACAATTATGATTAACTGGAAGCAATGAAAGGGGGTGAAGGAATCATCACATGCTTTGTTCTACTGAGGAATCCAACATGTATTCTGTAGGTAATGACAGGGAGCGGTGCAGCATTGCTCAAATGAAGCCCATGTGTTATGGAAAAGCCAAAGCTCTGTTAGAGAACGTAAGAGCTACCACTCACTAGGCAAGAACTTATCCAGAGGTTTCTCTATGACAGAACATGTGGAGTCTGAACTACTGCTGCTGCTACTGCCTGGAAAACAAAGAAATGAGCCCAACGGGAACCAAAGAAAGAGGGAACAAGAAAATGAACACATACACAGAGAAAAATTCAGTTCCAGAGAAAAAAATTTAAAGGACAATCAAGCTTTGTATTAAAGACCAAAATTTACTTTCCCTAAAAACAAGCCTTGGTAGTTTATTCAATATTCTCTACTTTATAAAGCCATAGAGAGGAATTAGAAAGTATACTGCTTTAAGCAACTACTGAGGGCAAATCCTACTAGTCACCTAAAGCCTAATCATTTAGAGGTTTGAAATGATAAGAATAAAAAATAAATAAGTCATTTGGTGACATTTTAGTCTATTAAAACTATTTAGGTTGATAATTTAAAGGAATGGAGTTTTAAAACTTAAATCCATACACAATAAATATTATAGGAATGATAAATTACCCTTCATTATAAACAGGTTAGTTTGTCTCCACTTTCGGTCTCTTTCCCCCAAAATATCAAACTATCAAATGTGTTTAAGGTTTGACAGCAAAACTTTCAAAAGGCTCACTGAAAATTTTTAAATTTCTAAGCCTAGAAGAAAGATATATTACCATAATATTTCAACATATTAAGCAGTGGTATTTTTCTATTTAAAATGTTATTTTTTAACAAATCTGTTACCTGCTTTAGCTTTTCTACTCTGTGAAAAACTAGGTGTGAGCAAAAAAAAAATTTCTCTAAATCAGGCAAACATTTTCTGCAAAAGAACAGACAAATGTTTGAGACTTTGTAGGCCATGTGGCTTCATGTGAAAGCCGCCATCTATGTAAACAAATGAGCATGGCTGTTTTAATAAAATTTTATTTACAAAAACAGGTGGTGAGCTGGATTTAGCCAGCAGACATTTTGACAATTCTTGCTCTAAATCATTATTTTCCTGTCTTTTGAAGTTACAAAATCTTTATAGTTTTTAAATTTGGGACTCCTAATCAGGCAGTGATGGGTTTATTTTCAGCACGATCATTTTAATAAGACAAGCAAAATATGCAACAGCTTGAAAACAATGACCACATTAATGGAAGAGAGTTCTGAAATAAATATTTATGGTAAAAAGGTTTGAAATGTAGGCCATTATAATATGTCCATTTTATCTGCATATTATCTGAATTCTAATCACAACAGTCTTAATTCACACTTGGCAACAAATGCCCCACAACAGGGTGAGAATGAGAATACATTTTATAAAGAAAAAGAATTAAATTTAAAAATGGAATTCCTCATACAAATTTACTATTTAAAAATTAGTGACTTTTAAGGACTAATCCTGTTTGTGGAAAAACTCCACACTATCCTAATTTCCTTAAAAAACTTAGATTCCTGACACAGATGTAAGGCCCTACATAAAATTAAAACCCACATGAAATTTTAAAATGGCATACCCACTATTATAGTCTTACAATTCTAAATTCTAAAAAAACAGAACATGTATTCAAAGTCAGCTATAAACAGATCAATACAGGAGAAAAAATGCAAAGTTAACCAGGTAAATGGCATACATCTTCTGTTCTAATTGTTATAACAACGAGATAATTGTTATCTAATATATTAAACAAATAGATATCGGCAAAATAAAAGTCACGCACTCTACCACCTTGTGAAACCACCTAGTTGATTTCTGCAAATCAGAATACTAAACAGAACTTACCCCTTCTTTTTTTCCTTTTCTCTCCATCTTCTCCAACCTCACCCTCTTCATCATCATCTTCCTCTGACCCACTGATATCAGAGCCTGATATTTCTTCTCCTTGGACAGAAATTTAATACAATGTTTTTTTATCCTGTACCAAGTCATTGGCTATTTAGGAAATACCTACAACAACTTTCTTCCTTAGGTTTTTGTTACTGCAAACAACAATCTAAATACTATTTAAATTCTCCTAGAAAGTATATCAGATAGGCTAATCTCAGATATAAAGATGTACAAAAAGACTTTATTTTAAAGTCTCTAAAGAGAACTTAAATTTTGACCCACTTAAAACTTCAAATCATTCTGGCTGGCCAAGGTGGAGCGTGCCTGTAATCCCAGCACTTTGGAAGGCTGAGGCAGGCAGATCACTTGAGATCAGGAGTTAGAGATGACCAGCCTGGCCAACATGAGGAAACCCCATCTCTACTAAAAATACAAAAATTAGCTGGGTGTGGTGGTGCAAACTTGTAATTCTAGCTACTCGGGAGGCTGAGGCAGGAGAATCCCTTGAACCCAGGAGGCAGAGGTTGCAGTGAGCCGAGATTGCACCACTGCTCTCCAGCCT